CATAATAAACCACTTCTGTATGGAACCAGCTGTTGGAAGACTACATTAATGTCACAAGCATAGCATCTAACTAAAAAGTCAATCAACAGCTTATTCATTGAAAACTATCCATTATTTCTATTCTTCATTAAGTGTTTTGTTAAAATGTAACTACCTTTGTTATTCTGTAGTTCTTTGTGTGATAAGGTAGTTTATTACACCAAGACACTAGCGCATGTAAGCTAGCATTCAGTTTAGCCTCCCACTTGGCCAAAAATATAGGCACCCAAATTAATAAATATAATTTTAGAAATGTATACACTTTTGATGATATTTCTATCCTTTAGCTGATTAAAAAAACATTTTTCAGAGAACTAAGAAATCCAATATTAAAGAGAATTTCTAATTATGCTAATTAGTTTATTTTTCTGAAGTCTGTAATTAATGATTTGCTGCCTCTCCGACATGTTCTTTGTTTAACTTGTGTTATATGATGCAGGTCACAGCACTGCATAAGCACTTGAGTAGTTCGAAGACGCTACACAGCTTCTGACCTCTAGGGAGGAAGTAGCCGTGGAAAAAAAAAAATTGTTTTGCTTGCAAAGCCATTTGAAATAAGTATGACAGTCTAAGTTGTTCCAGTCTTATCCCGTATCTTTTTTTTTCCCTGAAACCATGTCTTGTAAACATGAAATATATAGCCTGTAATCTGTGTCAGACGACCTCAAGATCCCTCCCAAAAAAACTTAAGAGACTGATTCACAGATGTACTGGAACACAGAACTCCTATTGCAATCTGGCGCCTTGATATATTTGAGAATCCGGGACGTAATCCAAAAAAACAAAAACTGGAATAGAGGTATTATCACCCTTGCAGCAGTTAGAGGCTCCAATGTGGTAGAAAAAGCAGAGCATGAGTTATAAAAGGTGCTTCACTCTCCAAGCAATTAAATAGAGTACATTAAGATGCATCAGACACACAAGCAGAAGCTTATGAAAAGGCCCAATCCGAATGCAGTAATAGTTACCTGATAAGACTTCTCTCATTATACCTTTTCTCAGCAGCCAAAAGCATAGAAACAAAGGGAAAAAAAATAATTTTCTTTCAAACTCTATTTCCCACAGACAATATAGCCTCATATTTTAGTTCAATCCTCTGTCTGATAAGTAACTGGATTTTTTTTTTTCTTCCCTCCAAACTGCAGACTTACAGATCTTGGTGGATGAGAACTATATGCAAGTGGGTTGATAGCAGTTTAAGAGTGTTAAAAAAAAATATAGAAAAAAATAGAACAAGCAGGATTATATGCATCATATTCTGTTGGGAAGAAAAATGAACAGAAAACACAAGGTACGAGATAAAGTACATCCATCATGGAAACCGACAAAAGAGAACTATGAAAGGGCAAGTAAAGGGAAAAGAAAGGAGTATAAAATACATTAAAAGCACAAGGAAAGATTTTATTATCTACTATAGGGAAGAAAAGACTGATGTGAAAGAAAAACAGTGAAATGTTGAGTTAAAACTTAATATATTTTACCCCAGCTTTTTAAGGAAATTAGTCTCATGCAGGAAGTGTTGGGGGAGTGGGGGGTGTCCCCCACTTGGAAACTGGCTGGCCAAAATCAATCAAATTTGACAGAAGGGTTGAGGTCTCAAAGATAACTACCTAAGAAAATGCGAAGTTCATGAAATCAAGATGCTATGAGTGTCCCGACCAAGGGAAAGGCTGCAGTATGCATTAAAAACTTATTAGACATCAGATGACCCACAAAAGGATAAGACTATAAATGTTTCAAACCGGAAGAAAACCAAAATCCATTAAAGCTTACAATCATCTGTGACATTAAAAAAAAAAAAAAAAAAGGTAAGAAGTTAGGCTTCTACTTCTCAAGGAACTACTCTTTTAAAATACTTCTTCCTCTTTCACCTGGGGAATAAAGGAGGACATGGCAATACTCGGTATATTATTCACCATCCAGAGTAGTAACAAACATGTGCCAAAGGACCCTTTTCATATGCAAAAGTGCTGTAGAAAGGAAGACATTTTCATCTTCCTTTGGAGAAATCAAAGCAAGAGAGGCAAAGTGACTGCAAGGAAAAACAGCAGTAGAAAAGCTGGATGGAAAGACAAGCCAAGTAGCCCAAATCACTTTCCACCCACTACTCCAATCTGCCTTCAGAACCAGCAGCATCCAACACACAACATAATACATTTTCTGGAACCCGACTCAAACAGAACATACCTACAGCATACAATAATCACTGACCATACCTTTTTTTAAAAAGCTGTGTCACTCTTTTGATTTGTTTTATACTGATCAACCCCTTCTTGAAATCACAAACATGCAGTTAATAGTCATATTATCTTGACACAAATGACAAGCAGCAATTCCTCAGCTTTTTCAATAAAACCAGATTTTAGATAACCATGTATATTCTCCATCTACACTTCTAAAGTGTAGTTAAGTCAGTATTTCATACCAAAAAATGGCATCTACATGTTTGCTAAAAATGAATCTTTGCTACAATTTAAGCAAAGAGAAACTTCAGGTGGTGTTCTACTGAATGCCTTCTTGTTTGTTTGCTTGTGCACTAGCCTGATAGTACTAGAAAAGCAACTCATTTAAACCAGTAAGCGATTTTCATAGGTTCTACAGAGAAAGCATCTCGAATCCCAGATGATTAAATTTCACTGGCAAGCAATCTAGGATGCTTGGACACAACGTGGCTGAAAATACTTAAGCAAACAACCAAAGCTTTGCTGATGAAACATTTCAGATTCAAGGATAACAAAGCAAAATTAATCATCTTCAACACGATTCTCTAGATAAAATATCACAGACTAGTTGCACAAATAAATCTTGAAATATTTCACTTTTCAGGAAGCGCACCTTTCAACTTCAGACAACACCCAGCATCTGCAGGCCAAGAGAAAAAGGAATGCAGTCATATGGAATCAGTTAACAATTACAGCCAATAAGCAAATCAACTGCAGTGGAGGATCCACTTTTGATATTAATAAGCTGCGATTCATGTTAAGCGTCATACAGCTTTCCTTACTGAAGAGATTCATCATCCATATATTTAAGAGAAAAAGTCAACTCATTACCATATAAAATGGTAGTTAAATATAGCATATTTCAGCTGTTGGAGGTACAAACAAAAGAAAGATCTCACGTGTTGAAAATGTGTGACTTTTACCTAAAATCCCGATTCCAGCATACAAAGAGGCATGTCAGTGTTTAATAAAAGAGATCTGAATGCAGCACCTTACTCCACTCCATGCTGTGAACACTATTTGCCCTTACGTTTACTCATGTTTTTTTCCAAAAAAGAATCCAAGTTACATCTTCTCAAGCTGAGCTATTTGTTTAAAACACTGACTACTGACAAGGGTGGAAAAATCAAAGGAGAGCGTTTAAGCTGATTAACTGCCACAGTGTCACAATTAGATGTCACTCTATGCTCACTTTAATTCTGAAAGCACATGCAGCATGAAAGGAACTCCCGGCAATGCGCTGCTCCAGGTGCAAGCGCATGCAATGCATATGCCTGGCACCGACGCTAGCCCCCCAGCGCTCCGCCCTTTCTATTTATTGTGTCCGCGAGTGAAGCGGCAGCAGAGAAAGGCTTTTTTTTTTTTTTTTGGCTGCCCGGAGAAGTTAGAACCTCCGCGCTCCTCCCGCCGCCGGCCAGCCGCGATCCCCCAGCCAGCCTAACAATGGTAGCGGCGTTCCCGCGGGCAGACCTGCCGGGCACCGGCACGGAATCCCCTCGCCTCGCAAAGCCAGACCCGCCGCCCGTCCCCGCCTCTGCCCTCCCGAGCCCCGGCCACCCCAGCGGCGCGGCGGCGAGGACGGGAAAATGGAGGGGGGGGGGGGGGGAGAGCGCACCTCACCTCAGCCCGGCCCGGCGGCGGCCGCTCGCACCTGGCTGCGGCTGACGTCACCGCCGCCTACGGCCCCGGCACGGCCCCGCCCTCCCCCGCCGGCTGCCGGGCACACGGGGCGAGCGGGCTGGACGGTGAGGGAAGAGGAAAGCGCCGCGCTCCGGCATCCAGCGCGGCCCCCCCCTCCCCTCCTCCGCCTCGCAACGCGCCCCCCTCCCGGCGGGGGAAAGGGTCTCCGCGGCCGCGACGTACTCGCCATCCTCCCCCCCCGCCCCAGCACCGGCACGAACAAAGGGGAGGGGGCCAACACCTGGCGGGGGGCCGCTCCCTTTGCGTGTGTGGGGGGGCACTTACTGGCCGGCCCGGCGCTCCACGCTCCCCTCAGCCTCGCACCTTTGCGCCGCTCGCCTCGGCCCTTCCCTCCCCCTTCGGGGCGCTGGAACTTCAAGCGGCGCCTGCCATTCCGCGCGTGCCGTTGCCGGCCAGAGGCGGCTCCTCCCGGGGGGGGCGGGGGGGGAAAGGAACGGGGTAGGGGAGGCGCCGGGGGGCGCGTGCGGCCCCGGCGGCGGCGCGGAGCTCCCCCGAAGGCTTCACAATAGACACAGGACAGCGCGCGCGTGTGTGTGTGTGTCTGTGTGCTCGCGCGGGAGGAGGGGCCTCTCCCGGCGCGCCGAGGCGGGAGGGGAGGGCTGTTTACCCGGCGGCCGACCCCCCCCCCCCCGCGATGCTCGGGCTGGTCCATGCGCCGCCGCGCCCCCAACCCCGCGACGTGAGGAAAGGAGGGAGGGAGGGAGGGAGGCCGAGCCGAGCCCCCTCCACCCCGCGGGCGGCAGGTGGTACAGTCCGGCCCGCCGGCTCCCGCTCCCCAGCGCGTGCGGGGTGGGGCCTGCCGGTGTGACGTAACCGAAGCCGGGCGCTGGCGGCCAATCAACGGGAGGAGGGCGGGGCACAGCCCCCACCCTACACCCCCCCACGCCGGGGCAAAGATGGTGGGAGGTCGGGGTAGGCGCAGCTCACGCCCTGCTGAATGATTTCTCCTGTCGTTACGCAAGGTGCAGGCGAGCGCCGGGGGTGGGGGGAAAGCCCCGAGCTCCCGCGACTATTGGTAACGGGTGGGTGCGCGGCACCGGGTGGGGGACGAGCTGTCGGGATCACGCCACGACGGTGGGACGGCGCGCGTTCCCCGGGAACGGGCAGCGGGGAGAAGTTCGCCCTCGCGCTCGTCTCCCCGGCAAGAGCGGCCCCGTAACAATTCCGCCGCCCGGGCGGCAGCACGGCAACGGCCACGCCGCCGGCCGGCGCCGCGTTGCGTGCTGGAGCTTGTAGTTCCGCCGAGGAGTCCTGAAAGGTTAAGCACCACCGCCAACAAAGGGACGTAATCCCCCCTCCGCCCCGAACGGTTGTATATCCCACAGAAAACCACACTTTATTCTTTACTGCGTATTTTCCGTTTTAATGAGCTACTTTTTAAGGCGCAGCCCTACGCCGCTCGTTCCGCGGGGGGAGGCGGTGAGCTCCGCGCAGCTGCCAGGACCTGCTCTGTCCCGTCATCCCCCGCGCCAAGATGTCGGCGGCTATCGCCGCGCTCGCCTCCTACGGCGGCTCCGACTCAGAGCCCGACTCGGAACCCGAGGCTGAGGGCGGCTCCCAGCACGACGCCGTGCTCGCCAGCCGCGACGCCGTGCTGCACCTCCGGGCGCCGCCCGCAGCGACCCCGGCTTTGGCCGTCGACGCGGCCCCGGAAGTAGCCGTAAAGGTAGGCCTACCCCCCCCGCCTCTGGGGCCTGAGGATCGCGGCGCGTCCCCCCCCGCCGCCGCGGGGCTCTGGGTCTGGGGGGGACAGTCCTGGGGCGCGGGGGGGGGACGGGGACGGGGACGGGGACGTGGTCGCCGCCCGGCCCTGCCCTGCCCCGCCCCGCCCCACGGTGCGGGGGCCGGAGCTGGAGGGAGGGGGGTAGGGAGTGTGTCGGGGAGTTAGGCCGGTGGATCCCGCTGTGGCGATTAATCTTCTTAAAGCATATTAACGTTATCTCTAAAACCGTGCCTCGCTCGGGGTTCCTCAGGTGCTCTTGCCTTTTGTTCACCCGAGTTTAAGATGTTTTTCTGGGTGGTGGGGTGAAATCGATACTTGATAGGGAGAGTGCGGCTGATCCTGTTCTAAAGAACAGCTGAAAGCTGATCGGTGTTTTCTGTTTTCGTTCCACAGTTGCTTGGGAAACCTTAGTTTTCCAAGTTCCTTATCGTATTGGTTCACTTCTATGACTCCAGAAAGGGGGAGGGGAGGATGTTGTTTTGGTTTGGGGATTTTAGCATAGGCAACTCTTGTCTAATCAAAAGCAGGTGTCTCAGCATGATGTCGCAGTAGTGTTGTGTTCCTTTCAGTTGTTCTGAAAAGTTTCCTGCTTTGTACAAAGAGGTGGATGGAATGGATGGAATCTTTCACTTTGTTGGCATTACTTAATTCATATGCTATCTCAGCTGATCATATTTGTGTATGTGTGTTATTTTGTATGTATTGACTAGATGTGCATTTTATTATCCCTTAGAGCCTTAGAAATATTTAAATTATTGAAGTGCAACATCTGGCAGACTGTCTTGTATAGGCTTTGAAAGGAATGCTAATTAGTATCTGTAATATCTTTTGAGTGTGAATGACGATAAGTGGCAAGTAGCATTAACTGTGCTCTTCACCACTCTTAAGGCTGTAGCAACAGGTTTTTGATTTGCCATGCCAGCACAAAGGTTTATGCAGTTGCTTGCTGGCTGACATCAGGGAACTGCTCTGAATTAAAAAAAAAAAAAAAAAAAAAGATTATGACAGAGTTATTTGTTCTTGGCTCTGTTACTTGATCTGACTTGCAGTGTAGCTGCACAAATGCTGTTTCAGCACAGTTAAGTGCCCAGTGCCAGGGTAGGAACAAGCAGCTGGAGGAAAGACTTGGGTGTTAGTAGCATGTTCCGTTCAAAGCTGTTCCCCAGGCTGTGCCCTCACAGGGGTATCTACCAGTACAGCTAGGACTGTCTCTGCCGCAGGTGTTCTGCTAACCAAGGTAAAAAGGGAGTATCAAGATGTTTCATTAAAATATTTATCATTTTTATTTGAGATCATAGATGGGATGCATATAACTGAAAAGATCAATAAATTCAAGCAAAGGCTTTCTGTGTACACAGCATACTGGAGCCTCTTTTAGCACCACAACCTTCTTTGAGGAGTAACAGATCATTTCCTTGTAGAATGATATCAAGCTATCTTTTCAGACCTTTACAGTTCGAGAAAGAAGTGCTGGTCTTGCAGGCAACATGCTCTCAACACCTTCCATGTCTGAAACTTATAGCATCGCACCAATCAGTAGTGAAAGCTTGCCAGTCACCCCCCTCAGATATTTACCCTAATTCTTTAGGATTAGAAAGCCCTTACTGCACAAATGTAAAAGGCCTGATGTTTGAGGATAGGTCACAAGAATTCTTTAAGTACAGGGTTGGAAAAACAGCAAGCTGAGCAAGGAGGAAAATAGAGTATCACTTCGTTTGTGCAAATGTTGTTTGGACATGAATAAGGATCAAGTACTCTTAAGTTCATGGATATATATTACACAAAAGACCAGGAATGGATAAGTAAAGATGGTGGTAAGAAGGGAGACTAGAAGGTTAAGTCATACAATAAATATAAACAACAGCTGCACACCAAGTGCATTGTTGCAGTTGAGAATGTAAGTCTTAAATGGTTGGTGTTCTGCATCCTGGTTCTAATCATTGTAACTGTTTTGGTTCAGAATTTTGTCCCATTAACTTGCACAGACATGACTTACATGTACTTTAAAGAGAAATAGGTTCCTCACTCTCTTTATTAGCAAGGCATAATTGTTAGCACACTCAGCTACAGCAGCTGGTTTTTTTTTTTGTTGTCACTTAAATGTGTGTATCAAATATAGCCCTAAGATGTTACTCCAAGATGTATTTCTTTATTCTACAGAAATCTGCTGAGTTCTTGCCTCAAAGAACATCATAAATATATAAAATCATATTTCTATTAAAATACTTTTTCTGTAATTGAGAACTGTGGGAATGATTTGTAACTGTTTTATAAGTTTGAGGGGTTGGCTTTTATTACACCATTTTCTTACAGTCTGCTTGTTAAAATAGGCCTATTACTGATTTTGATGTTAAATTACTCACAATAAAAAATACTGAATTATAATTATTGGTTACTTCAATCCAGTAATAGTTCCACTTTAATTTTAAATTTGAAAGCTAACTAAATGAAAGTGCATGTTTCTACTACTATTTTTAGCACTACTAAAGTGCTGAAAATGTTACAGTACCTGAGGGAAGACAACAGAGGAAGAAAGTATGCACTTCTAGTCCCTTCATCCAGAAATGGATATGTTATAACTGCAAAAAGTTCCGAGAACTTCAGCAGGGCTGAAGAAGGTTCCTCCTTCTGTATAAGGAATTACTGAGGAGGCCAAAACTGAAAAAGATGACTGCGGTGAAAAGTATGATAGAGCCCTAAAAAATCATTTAATTGCATGGAGAGAGGGTTGAATACTCACTGCCTCTTCTAATACAGCAACTATAAGCTAACTAGTAGGAAATGAGTCCAAAACAAACAGAAGGATGCAGTTTGTCATGCAACATGTAACAGGACTATTCCCATGCCAGGAAGTACTGTGTATGCAAGAAGTTTACACTGTTACAAGGAGAGTCTGAACAAGTACTTGGAAGAGATCCATTGAAGGAAGAGGTGTCAGTAAATACACAGATTTCTTCAAGCTCACAAACTGTTCTGACCTGAAAATATTTGACTGTTGGGAGGGTGCAGAAGTAGTATCGTGTATACTTGCCCTGTTCTTACTCTCCCCTGGGTGTCAAGTTGTTGTAAGCCTGATGTTTTCTTTTTGTGAGGAGAGTGGATAGGTTAATCAAGATATTTTCTTACTCCAAATACATCATCAGTTGGCAGGTAAGCATGATAGTGTTGTTGATAGACACTGTTCCACAGAGGGAAGGGAGGCCACTTGACAATAGCCAGGGCTAGGAAATGTCTTCCTTCTTGCAGTGGTCATTGTGAGGAGCAAGACATACGGAATATTTTCATGGTATCCTCAGAACTTGCACCATGAGAGTGGAGTTTCAGTACTTCTACTAGTCTGTTCTATCATGAGTGGATATTCCTTCAGAGAAAGCCAGATCCTGTGACTTCTGCAAGGATTTGTGTCGATTCATTGACTTGTTGATATAGATGCTGCTCTTCTCACCTTTCTGTTTGTAGTTGTGTTTTCTGTATGGAAAAAATAAAGTGTCCTTCTCCTTGTTGTCTTTAAGATACAGTAGATTCTTCCACTCATGTGCTGTGGTTTCAGCTCAGAGGGCAGCTGAGCACCATGCAGCTGCTCACTTCCCCTTTTACCCCTCAGCGCTGGGAGAGAGAAAATAAAGCAAAAGGCTCAGGAATCAAGATAAGTACAGAGGGGGGTGACTCACCCATTATGGGCAAAAGACAGACTCATTAGGGGAAGAAAAAAAGAACATAAATTTAATTCAGATGCTAATAACAACACTACTTAACAGACAGAGACACATTCCCCCTACCCCTCCCTTCTTCCCCAGCTCAGTTCTGCTCCTGAACTCTCTACCTCCTCCTCCACAGCGGTGCAGGGGGCAGGGGATGGGGAGTACAGTCAGTCCTGCTGCTGCTTTCTCCTGGGGGTGGGGGGTGTGAGGAGTGAATGCCTCACATTCTTCTCCTGCTCCAGCATGGTTCCCCTCTCACAGGACAGTCTTCCATGAACTTCCTCTGCCTTGGCATCCTTCCCACAGGATGCAGCTCTCCCTGAGCTGCTCCGGCATGGGGTCACCCCATGTGTTGCAATACTCCCAGCGCTGAACTGCAACCTAGGGGGCTGCTTCTTCCCACGGAGTCCCAGCCTCCTTCAGTCACAGTGAATTGCTCTGGTGTGGGTTCCTCTACAGGCTGCAGGTTGGTTTCTGCTCCACTGTGGACCTCCATGGGTGGCAGGGAGGCATCTCACTACAGGCTGCAGGGGGACTCTGCACCGGTGCGCCTCCCCACCTTCCTCCTTCTTTCTTTACTGACCTCAGTGTTCACATAGGTATTTTCCTCACAACTCCAACTCTTCTTCCCAGGTCCCTTCTTAAATACATTCTCACAGAGGCACAGCTAATGGTCTCAGCCCCGGCCAGAAGTGGGTCCAACTTGAAGCCAGGAGAGCTTCAAGAAGCTTCTCACAGGGGAGTCACCACTATAACGCTGCCCCACCCTCCGCTACCAAAAACCCCACCACTCGCACAAACCCAGCACATCATGGCAGAAGCAACTCTTTGTAAAGCATAGCTCATCTGTCCCATCTGACTCTCTAGCAACTGCACTGGCTAAGCACACACCATACCGGTGCTTTGGTACTGTTTTTTTATGGGTATTTTTTGCCTTAATCAGCTTCATGGTGAGACTTAAGGCAGTTAAAATCAACAGAAGGTACAACCTTTCTGCCTCTGTGATGTCTCCTGTGAGTCATACATGTGGCTTCCAGAGGAAGGGAGGCTTATCTCCCTCCCTCCCTCCCTCCCATACAAGAGCACCAGTGCTTTCTGCTACTGGTCAGGCCTCACACATCAGTGGCTCTTGTCTTTTGCTCCAGTCTAAGGAGAAGTAGATTCCACCTGAAGTAAGACCTTAAGCCTTTCTGCTCTGTAAGAGCATCTTGCTGCAGGATGGGTAGCTCCAAGACAGTTGTG